TCCAGTCCAACCCGCTGCCATGCAGGAAAAGCACTCCTGACAGATGGCCATCCAGCCTCTGCTTAAAAACCCCCAGAGAAGGAGATTCCACCAACTCAAGGACAAAATATTCCACTGTTGAAAAGCTCTTACCATCAGGAAATTCTTCCTAATGCAATGGCTCCCAACCTTTTCTTGACTTTGACTGGGGACTACTTGACAAGGGACCACTTTGACCATGGACCACTCTCCAACATTAGTACCAAAAGAGTTACGAATCCATTTCTGGTCAACTTTAGATTCGGTTTGGTTATTTGGGGTGCTGAGTCAGGAAATTGCATTAGATAGAGAACATCAGTTCTAGTTTCTGTTACAGAACATATGCCATCCAGTAGTCATCATCTGATTAACCACAGGAAACCATATTTAATAATCTAGACCCATGGACCTTATTTTAGGTCTCATGGCCCACCAGTGGGCCATGGCTCTACAGGTTGGGAACCACTGTCCTAATGTTTAGGTGTCAACTCTTTTCCTGCAATTTAAATCCATCTCTCTTTTTCCTGGTCTCTAGAGTAGTGTGATTCTGTTTATCAGTTGTTGGGAAAACTGCACAAGAGAATACTGCAAATATACCCAAACTTTGGGTTTCTGGTGTGCAACTGGCTGGCCACTGCATGAACAGAATACTGACATCGCTTAGCCTTTGGTCTGACTCAACAGTGCTCTTTCTATGTTCCATTGACATGACATGGCTGAACAAAGATGGGTTGCCAGATTTTAGGGGGTGCTACTTGTATAAAATACAGTATAGCCCCCATACCCATGGGACCAGAATCCATGGCTGCACCTATACACATCCAAGAAAAAAATATGTCATATCGAGGAAATTTCCAGGTCCTCCAGAAGATTTTATATTATGTTTCCACCAGTGATTCCCATAGAGTTGCCATGGAAGACCTAGCAGCCAGAAGAGATACCACTCTGGGAATTTTCTAGGTCCTCCAAGGGGATGCTGTGGTAACTTAAGTAGAATAAGCTTTGCTATTATTTACAGTTTCTCATTTCCACTGAGTTTATGAAGGCTGAAACTCTCGCCTTTCCCCTTCTCTCTTGTCTACAGTGTTAACTAAGTGCAGGCTACTTTGTTTGCATAAACTGAAATAAAACCAAAGATGAAGACAGAAAGGGGATGAAGAGGAAAGCCGGGACATTTTAAAAGGAGCTAAAAATGAATTGTCAGAGAAATAACCAAGATTGTCCCTGCTAAACTGGAACAGTTGGAGTGCATTCATATGGATCACATTCTTGAAGAACAGAGATCCTCCCTCCCCCTTGCTCCTATGTAGAGTGTATCTACACTATAGAAATAATACAGTTTGAAAACCACTAATTGCCATGGCTGCATGCTATGGAATCTCTCTAAACTATAGCTCCCATGGTTCCATGGCATTGGGCAATGGCAGTTAAAGTGCTGTCAAACTGCATCAGTTCTATAGTGTAGATGCATCCTTGTTTCAACCTTTGTTTTGACATTCGGTTTTGAATAAGTTAGTTTTTTCCTCTCACCTCATTTAGCAGCACTTGATAATAATCATACATTACAGGTTGCTGCTACTGCTGTTGTTGTTACTGATATCAGAATTATTGGTATCCATTGGGCTCTTCATTTTCACTAGGGTTGGGTGCACAGGACATCTGTAAAAGTGGGAAAACTGAAAACAAACCCCCTTTATTATTAACCTCACTGGAACATATTTCTAGGAATCTCCAGGTCCTCCATTAGCAGTGGCCAGTTGCACTGGGAAATCTAGGGATTCCTGGAGAGACCACATTAATCGAATCTGAATAATCGAATGTGCAAAATGTTAAATCTGCAAATGTGGAAAGCCAACACTAATTATATAGGGATGTTCTTGTTCTCATTAAAGCCTATAGCTCAGATTTCTCAATCAAGATTCTGAGAAACCTTAGGGGTTTGCAAGACTTCACTTTGAGTTCCATGAGAGATCATAATTGGGAAAAATATTCTAGAGCTGTAGATGTAATATTTTTTATGCAGAGGCTCCCTGGGACATGAAAATTACTTCAAGAGTTCCTCCAGGTTAAGAAAAGGTTGAGAAGAGATGATATAGTCCATACACATAATTCCATCTCACTACCAGTAGAAAGGTGAGTTTACATAAAAAATACATGTGCAAGAAAAATGCAGGAAGCTGAATGAGAAAGAATGGGAAAATAGAATGTAATATATGCTTGTTCTGCATGTATCAATCTGTAGAAAATGAATGTGTGACAATTATTCAAGTGACAGGCAAAATGACAATCTCATCTGTCTCATTCGTTTCTTTACATTCAAAATTCCAAGTGCTTTCTCAGAGTCCTTGGATTGAATGTCTTGTATATTTCCTATTCAGTTTGGAACACTAATTATTATGTATAAGAAAAAATAAAAATGCATACTGTATCCTTAAAATAAGGATACCCTGACATTTTAAAAAAACTCACAACAGACACCTTTCTAGTTGGTGTTATTTTTTTGTTCTGTTGCCCTCTTTCATGTTGCAAGTCACTTCTTGTGTGAGACAATCATGCTCGGTCTGGTCCATGACATCACATCTGATGGGCAGCTGTGGTTTTCACAACAGATGGGTACGAGAAAGGAGAACTATAAATGAATGCGTAACATTTATGGCATTAATGCTTGAACCATTGCTAATTGAGGAGAATGTACTAAATGGATGATTTTTTTCCTTTGGCTTTTCATGCATATCATTTGCTGAATTGTTTTGTCATACCCTGCAAATTTCAGAAGTCAGTCCTTTTGTTCATGCTCTGAAATTTCAAGAGTAACTTAAACTTTATTCCTTCTTTCCATCTAATACAAAGGATGTTGTCCTGGTCCTAAACAGGTGCCTGTCATCAGGAATGGACTGGATGAGGGCTAATAAGCTGAAACTAAATCCAGGCAAGACAGAGGCACTCCTAGTCAGTCATAAAATGGATCGGGGTGTGGGATTACATCCTGTGTTGGATGGAATCACACTCCCCCTGAAGGTTTGCAATCTGGGGGTGATCCTGGATTCATCGCTAACCTTGGAACCCCAGGTGTTGGCAGTGACCAGGAGTGCCTTTACACAGTTAAAACTTGTGCGCCAGCTGCACTCGTACCTTGACAGGCCAGATCTGGCCATGGTAGTCCATGTCTGAGTCACATCCCGTTTGGGCTACTACAACACTCTCTATGTGGGACTGCCTTTGAAGATAGTTCAGAAGCTTCAACTGGTCCAGATATTGGCAGCCAGTTTACTAACTGGAATGCCATTTAGGGAGAGAACTACTCCCATGCTGTGGCATCTCCACTGGCTACGGGTCTGCTTCCAGGCTAAATGCAAAGTGCTAGCTATTACCTAAATGGCTCGGGTCCAGATTATTTGATGAATTGCATCTCCCACTACAGACCAGCTCAGACACTGCACTCATCAGAAGAGGCCCTACACTCAGTCCCACCCCTGTCCCAAGTGCAGCTGGTGGGAATGAGAGAAAGGGCCTTTTCTGTGGCCTTCCCCCACATCTGTGACTCCTTTCCTAAGGAATTAAAAATGGCCACCTCCCCACCTTCAAGAAACAGCTACCTTTGTGCAGTGGCTTATGAGGAGGAGGAATATATGATAATACTACCATTATATATCTAGCTGCCATCCGTATCCTTGCCCTGTTTGCCCCCTCAGTTCAATAGACATCTTGAGCAATGATCAATCTTATTTGCCCCCAAGGAACTGGGTAATGGACTCTTCTGTTTGATGTCTGATTTTTTGTTTCATGTCTGATATAATAGGTTGCATTTTTCATTTAATTTTAGTTGTTAAGTTATAATTTGCTTTTATATGCTGAGCTGTAATTTTTTGTTATTATGGGTGTATTGTTATTATGTCCAGGTATTGAATGTTTGCCTTTTATGTTTGGAATCTGCCCTGAGTCCCTCCAGGGAGACAGGGCTGAATATAAAGAAAGTTTTGATATTTATTTATTTAATATTAACTTCTTTTCAAAATGCCCCCAATCTGGATAAAGCACCCACGTTCCATACTGGAATTAATATCAGGAAGGTGCACATCATACAAGACCTTATCTCCACCTTTCCTCCTTTTCTCCATGCCCAGTTCATGCTACCTGTTACCCTTCAATTTATGTGGAATATAATTTCTCCCACCTTTTTAATTTCCCTTTTTAAAATGCCTGCACTTTGGCAACTCAGATACCTTTTTGCATGCATTCAGTCCCTCCTCTAACTAAAGCACTTTCCATTTGAAATGCCACATTTTTCTATATGTAAATCTCAAATATTTGGTAGACATTACTGCAACCATCCAGTCACACTACAGAAATAATATATCCAACCAGCATCCCATCTGGACAAAGCAGTCTATATAAAGCCTCCTGGTTTTATTTTAAATGATCCCCCACATTGGCTACCTGAGGCTGACACATGCCTCACTAGGAGGACCAATCCCACATCAGGGATGTGAGCGGGGCTAGCAACAGCCAGCGCTTGCTGAATCATTGACAAATTCACCCTTAACCACCTTCTCGTGCTTGCCTTGACAACTAGTCTACTGAACTGCAATTGGACGAAACTCCTTTCTAAAAATAGCCTCACATGGGAAAAGAATGACAAGCACAAGCCACTAGATCAAATTCAGTGAATGATCCTTCAGGTTTTGAGATGGGGGTGGGAAGGAATTGATGCAAGGAAGGAAAAAGTACCAGGGAGGGGTGGGAAAAGTGACACACGAGTTTAAGAAGCTAACTGCAATTTTAATGAATATGGCTTGCTTTTGACAAAGGATTCTCTTGAGTCTGATTTAATGTCTCCTTGGCAAATTCTAACAACTCCACATTTTGTGTGGGAGTCATGAACCGACTCTTTTAAACTTGCAGGAACGCAAGACCTTGAGAGTAGAATACTAATGCACAACACATAGGGAAAGGGGTGCATAGAATAAAGAGAATGTAATGACCTTTCGGCTGTTCAAACATCATCCAAGTCCAATACAAGCTTCACGTTCAGCCTCTGTTTGTGTGTGTCGAAGCACCATGTTGCACGCACAATTTTGTCCAGGCAATACACAAGTTCACAGCTTTGAAAAGATCAAAAACGCACATTAGAAGAAGAAGAAACAGAATGAAATTTCTGATAGAGCACTTTCTTTTCAAAGAAAGAGATAATAATAATCCCCTTATTTCAAAGATACTGGGATCAGTTCATTTTGTCCAATATTTGGATGAGGTGAATGTGACCTTAAAGGTGCCAACAATATGCTTCACTGCATCAGGTCAAGATGCTATTTTGCATGTGATCATGTAAAATAATGATGCTGGCAATGTTTGTTTGGTTGGTTGGTTTATAAGAAAAATACCACCCCTTTCCACCATCCTCATGTACTTATATACAAAAGCCATGAAACTATTACAGAACTTGAGAACAATGCCTTTTAGACTACAGAACATCCATGGAGTATAAAAAGTAATCCAATCTATGAACTTTTGCACCATTTCAGATGTCCTGCTTAATATCTGAATTGTATTGCAAGTTTTTACTCAGGAAGATATTTATTTATTTATTTATTTATTTATTTATTTATTTATTTATTTATTTGGAGTATTTGTATCCCGTCTTTCTCAACCCCCGAAGGGGGACTCAGGATAGCTCACAACTGGCAGTCATTAGATGCCAACAAAGAAACAGTTGGAGCACAACAATTAACATAAACAGGTCAACGGCAATAAAAAAGGCATTAAAAAAGCAAAAACTACATTAAAAATATTGGCCCTTAAAATATTAACACAACCAAGTCTGAGTCTACAAATCCAAATCATAGTCCAGAATTCCAGTCCAAGGTCTCTTAATTGACAATTCTCACAAGCCATTACAGTTGCTGCTCAGCCAGCTGCCCGAATGCTTGGTCCCAAAGCCAAGACTTGAGTTTCTTCCTGAAGGAGAGGAGAGATGGAGTTGCCCTGATTTCACTGGGAAGTGCATTCCACAAACGGGGACCATCATTGAGAAGGCCCTGTCTCTTGTCCCTGCCAATCATGCTTGCAAAAGTAGCGGGATTGAGAGCAGGGCTTCCCCCGACGAAAACTCTGAAGTGGGCCATAAAGGGAGATCTCTCTGTGATCAAGGGGTCTTCATCCATACAAGAGATTTGAGACGACAGCCTTAGGGAGCTGGAGAAGACTGTTAGGGGACATGATAGTGATGTTTAATTATTGGAAAGGAGGTTATACTAAAAGTGGAGCCCAGGCTAAGCCCAAACTCTAGTCACCAAAAAAAACCCAAAAAAAACCAGGAATGGTTTCATCCAAAAAAGAGAACATTGAGAAAAATAAGAGGATGCTGATTTGCATAATATTGTTTTTCTTGTGTGCCTTCAAGCTGTTTCCTACTTATGGTGAACCTAAGGCAACCCTATCACAGGTATTTCTGAGGCCGAGAATGTGTGATTCATTCAAAGTCATCCAGTGGATTTCCATGGTTGAGCAAGGAATCAAAGCCTAGAGTTGAAGTGCTAGCTTTCACATAATATTAGCGTATGCTATTATGCCATTATTAGGACCTATACATTTTAATAGATATAAAAGTAATGCATTTCACCACAGGTTGGGATACTGTAACTATAATGACCTGTGTGCATTGATACCTTGTATTCAAAGCATCAAGAGTGCACACCTGCACATCCAAAAGACAGAGCTAGCTATGTTTTTTTTTAATGAAAAAGCTATATTTCCTGCACAGCTTGTTTATAAATGCATGTGCCCTTCTTAGGGATTTCCGAGGTTATTTAATTACTAAACAAGATATATAGCAAGCGTGCACCTTCTTTATGGGAAAAGCTATGCTTTTTCAAGTTGCAGCAGAACTAGTGTGTACAAGGACATTCAAATCAAGGCACAAAAACAGTAAGTAAGCTTCATGTGTTCCCTGAGACTCAGTATTATTCATCCCTATGCAAAGTGCAGATGAGCAATTTCATGTTTCTGGTCTTTTCTTAGCACCCTTGGAGCTCCTCCAAACAGTAAATGCTGTATTTTTTTAATAGATGTTTTAAATTTTAAAAGAACCAAATAATGCTTATGTGGTTTTGGAGCATTCTGTGGCAATTCCCTACATGCGCATCAATGTTTTATTTCCATCCAGAGGGTGAAGGGCTTTTTTTTGTTTATAATCTCAAAGGACTCACATGATTCAATGCTTGGGATTTATATTGGATTTTTTAGCCATTCCTCCTCCTCCTTGCTGAATGAGAAAGACTATTGCTTTACAATGTTAACACAAGATTTTTTGGAACACTGCTCTTTAAAAAGGAGGAGGAAGAAGAGAAAGAGGCATGCCCCTTTGGCCCCCAGAGCTAAAAGTGAGTGAACACACTGATACTTGGCCAGTTGCCTACAGGCTTATGGCATCTGAATGATGAATGGCCAATTGCTTGCAAAATCATAGAACTCCCTCAATCCTTCTCCCAATTCCTGCTACCTTCTGCGGTGTTTATGTATACCTACAAATCATCTGTCAACTTATGGCAACCCCATACATTTCATAGGAATACTCAGAGGTAGTTTTTGCCAATTCCTTCTTCTGAAATGTAGCCTACAGCACCTCGAATTTGTTGATGGTCTCCCATCCAAGTACACCAGAGCTAACCCTACTTATCCTCCAAGATCAGACAGATCCGGCATCTTTAGAGTATATAGATTCTGTATGAATGCTCAAGTATTTCAAAGGGGTATCAACCATCAATATTTCCTGCAAGATCTCTCACTTCTTTGCATTAATTGAAGTCTGGAGAATCCTTCGGAGTCTTGTCATTTCTAAGGAAGGTGAGAGAGCAACCATAATCCTACTTCTCCCAACCATGTATTTGCTACTTTGTGGGTTGTTGTAGGTTTTTCCGGGCTATATGGCCATGTTCTGGAAACAATTTTTCTCCTGATGTTTCACCTGCATCTATGGCAAGCATCCTCAGAGGTAATGAGGTCTGTTGGAACTGGGAAAAATGGGTTTATATATCTGTGGAATGACCTATTGCTACTTCGTTTTAGTTATTTTAGTCGACTCTTTTTCCTGATCACTGTTATAAGCATCTTTCTCAAATCTACTATCTATCAATCTATCAGTCTATCAGTCTATCAATCTATCGATCTATATATCTATCTGTGATCACTAGTGGCCAAGTATGATTGTCTTCCATAGGTGAAGTCTTGGTGGTGGGTCCGTAAGTGACTCTAGAAACCTATTCTGGATCTGTGTGCTCTTTCGCAATGAGGTCATACATTTCTAGATGAAACGTGTTCACAACAAGTGGTGTTAGGGGAGTCCTGTTTATCCCCATTGTCTGTGGAATGTGGGGTCCAGCAGGGATCATCTTTATCCCCAATGTTATTTAACATCTACATGAAACCGCTGGGAGAGATCATTCAGAGTTCTGGAGTTTGGTATCATTATCTGGATGATTACTCCTTTCCATCAGATGCCAACAAAGCAGTTACACACCTAAGCAGTTTCCTGAGGGACTTAATGGACTGGATGAGGGCAAACAAACTGAAGCTTAATCCAGATAAGATGGAAGCATTGCAGGTCTTGCATAAGATGGATCCGGGAATAGGGTTACAACTTGATTTGGATGGGGTTACACTCCTCCTGAAATCTCTGGTTCACAGTTTGGGGGTGATCCTGGATTCAGCCTTAAATCTGGAAGCCCAGATGGCAGCAGTGACCAGGACCTTTGTACAATTAAAATTTGTGTGGCAGCTGTGCCCATTTCTGCAGAAATCCAACCTGGCCATGGTGGTTACATCTCAGTTACACTACTGTAATGCACTCTACATGGGATTGCCATTAAAAAGTGTCTGGAAACTCCAATTGGTTCAGAGAACGGCAGCAAGATTGCTCACCAGAGAAAGGCAGCATAGAAATTCCCAAAATAATAGCAATAATAACCTTCCTAACTGCAAAAGACTTCTCATAAATACAAACCTTTAGCAACTTTCCTTATCATCTCTGTAAAATCTTACTTACTCAGTATCTGTCTATTATCTCTTCCAATCATCTAAACCAGAGGATGTTTGGGTAGCATCAGTCTGACAACCATAATACTGGTCAACTCAGAAAGTGCCTAAGAATCTTCTGAAGAGCAAATCCACAGAAGTCTGATCATTTCCAGAATATTGCTGTGCATTCACTGGGACAAAAAAGCACTGAAATTTCTAAAATAACCACCTCTGTACCTAAATTGCATGATGCAGTTGTAAACATCCCAGCTAACTACCTCCCTGTATTATGCTGTACACCCACACAGGTTTTTTAGCAAGGTTCAGGAAATACTAAATAGAGCTGTGTGAAAGAGACAGTGTTCTTGGTCGGTTTGATTTTCTCCTCCCCTGGCTTCCTGTTTTTTTTCTTCTCCCTGCTAATGTTATCCTTATATTCATTATCTGTTGTGACCATGTATTGTCGAAGGTTTTTATGGCCGGAATCAGGTTTTTTCAGGCTGTATGGCCATGGTCTAGAGGCATTATCTCCTGACGTTTCACCTGCATCTATGGCAAGCATCCTCAGAGGTAGTGAGGTCTACTGGAACTAGGAAAAGGGGTTTATATACCTGTGGAATGACCAGGGTGAGACAAAGGACTCTTGTCTGCTGGAGCTAGGTGTGAATGTTTCAACTGACCACCTTGATTAGCATACAATGGGCTGACTGTGCCTGGAGTCGCCCTCGGGCTGAGAACAGCGGTATATAAGCAAAGTAAATAATAAATAATAATGGAGCAAACTTTTGTTGAAAGGTCCCTGCCTGCTTCCTCTCTGTTGTTGTGCTGTTGCAATTTTTGAGTTTTTTAATACTGGTAGCCAGATTTTGTTCATTTTCATGGTTTCCTCCTTTCTGTTGAAATTGTCCACATGCTTGTGTATTTCAATGGCTTCTCTGGGTAGTCTGACAAGGTGGTTGTGAGAGGTCACCTAAGATCTCCTGGATATCTTGGAGAACAGACCACAAAGATTAAAGAATCAGTATGTGTTCTGTCCCCAAAAGCCTTCTAATGGATTATAGGGGGGCAATACCTGGCCACACATAGGAGC